GGAGTCTGTTAGCCGGAGAAGCTGAAAGCAACACGTTTGTGCAGAAGAGAGAGGATCGTCCTGCGAAGAAGAGCACAGCAACAGAGCTCCGTTTTGCCTCCTGGTTGAAAGGAACACTGCAGGATGCAGAGCTCAGAGACAAAGAAGTTTCGAAAGGCACGTCTGCCGTAGGGGTAAACGAACTCTCAGATGTGAGGGACTCTGATCCTGTTTATGTCGACCAGGCACCAGATTCGAAGCCAGTGTCCAGGGATGAGCCTGTCTCTGAATCATCGAATCCGGTAGCTGCTGAGGCGCAAGCTGAGGCCAGAGACAAAGCCAGCAAGCTGAAGGCTCAGATTGTGCCCTTTAAAGCCAAGCTGGATGCCATGAAAGCAGACTACGACTCTCTGCGACAGCAGTGGCTTCAAGAAACGCGAAAGGTGAAAGAGAAAGCTGCGAAGAAAGAAGAGGAGGTGAAGGCTCAGAAAGTTGCGAAGAAGGCCCAAGAGATCCACGAAGAAGAAGTAAAGACTCAAAAGGTAGCTATGGAGGCAATGGAGATGCGTAGTGGCCATGGAAGTACCAATACGGCCAAGACCGCTTTCGCTAAGGGCATGGGAAACGATGATGGCGAAAAGCCAGCTCCTCGTCGGCTACAAAGCTTCCTTCAAGGCGAGGGCGATATGGCAAGCAATGTTCATGAATTTGCAGGAAGAGATCGATGGTACAAGCGGAAAGCACCACATGCCATGGATGCAAAGGACGTTGAAATGAACGCTAAGCTTCAGAAACTCGCAACGGACAGAGCTTTGATTCGTGAAGTCAGGGGTATCTACGAAGATACTTACGGCACCATTGACACGAAACATCGCCAGCCTCACGTCCTTTCAAGTCCTCTGCCAGAACCATCTGGTCAATCCATCGCTTCATCTGGGAATGCCGCTCTACATGCTCAGCTTGCTTCGAGTGCCGCAAGCATAATTAAACCCGCACGAGGCCTAGACAGATCTCAAATTTCAGACGCGTTGAAGATTATTCAGAAGCTATTTGGTCAGCTGCGTGAGGCTCAGTCTATTATCCATGAGTACCGCTGTCAAACAAAGCAAGCTTTGGGTCCCAGCGACCAAAACACCAATATGTTCGAAACGCCCAGTGCGTTCGAGGAGAGCGTCACACAAATTGTGAGGACTTCAGGACAACTAGCCCGAGTCAGAGCTGGCGGCACCATCGGTCAGGGCTCCGTTGAAGCAATCGCCGCGGCCGGCTCGAAGGAACCCACGATCAACCGTCCGCTTTCGATGACAGCAACAAAGTCTACCAACCTTGAAATTCGGGAAGCTAAAAAGCTGAACACTTATTGCATCCTCGCCTACGACTCAGCTACTCAGAAGGTCAAATCTGCCGAGGCTACCACGCTCGCACCGTTTTCAAAGGAGCAATCGCTACTACCCCTGGACGCGCTTAATCGTTTGAGGAATCCCGGCAAGTTTCTTCCTCATGTCATGTCTCTTGGAGACAAAGGATATGAGCCTGTCTCCGGTACCAGCAACATCCTAGTGTTCAAGAAAGAGGTTGCTCCACAAGAGTTAGCAGAGATCAAGAAGGCGGATCAGCAGAAAGTTAAAGAAGCCGAGAAGCAGGCTGTGGAGAAGATTGAGAGGGAAAAGGAGCAAGCCGAGGAAGCCCGCAAGACAGCAGTGGACGGTATCAAAAACAAGGAGCAGCCCTTCGAGGAAGCCCAGAGGCAGCAGTCTACTTCATCAGCATCACCAAGCCACACATCGAGTGACAAAGTGCGTAGGCAGGAGACAGTGTTCTCAGGATCTCGGCCGGGGAGATGGGTAGACCACAGCGTCAAGCCGAAGAAGAGCAAGCGAGCCGCAGTCCGACGTCGTAAGACTATGAACCGTATGTTCATGGCCGGTGCCTTTACTGCAGCATGCTGCTACTGCGTGGGTGTGGCATCTGAGATGATGCATAGCTGGTGATGAGTATTGGGAGGAGGTCATGGAGCACAGAGAGAATGGAGTCAGGACGGCGCTCTGTGAATATTAATGGATAAACAGGCACGTTTGGATCACGTCGTCACTAGGGCATGAGCAGAGACGGTGGAGCAAATGCTTTTTTTCTCACGTGCAGCAATTTCGAATGACAACAACGTACTCTCGGCTCATCATTTCGTAGCATCAATGAAGGTCACTTGCATCGGATAACGCATCAGGCCTGCTCTCTTGACTTATACAAAGCCAAAAGAAAAGGAGCGCCTGACATTTCTTTCCTTCAAGCAGTAATACAGTCACTAAGGAGCATCTATGCTATGCTTGACTAAAAAACAACGGGCCTTGTTTTTGTTACAGAACTGTAGCTTAGTGTCCCCGCGAAGTGGCAAGAATAGTTTGTTGCAAGCACGAGAGTGAGTATCAAAGACTGTCTGATTGTCTTTCCTCGTTGCAGGAATATGCTTGTCACTGGGCATCCTGGCTTCGAGAACCGAGGCTTGCCAACAAATGTTTCTCGTATCAAGGAGACGACCTTTGCACCTTAATTTGATGAATGGAATTAGGAGTGGTGATCGTAGTCATCATTTCGCCTTTGTTCTAGCAGGGTAGTCCCGTTGTTGGTGTTGGGTCCTTCTGGGCTTCAGTAGGATTCGCAGCCGACATGAACTGCAAGAACACGGTGAAGAAACGGTGGGCGCGCGTTTCTTTTTGTAGATGTGGAGCAGGAAACAGGAAGGGCAATTTGGTCGGACCACGGTTCGAACTCGACTTCCAATTGTTTCAACCTCGGAAGATTTCCAGCCTCATGGATCCCTCGCGGATTCCTTCGAGGCTTTGATGAGTCCAGTCAGCAATTCAAAAGCCGCTGTCCCCAACCCGTCGGCTATTCATTCTTCAGCAGTCAGTATGCGCACAGCCTGCAAAAGCAATGCAGCTGCAGCGCAGTGTTCCGAACGGTTGATAGGTGATGTACGGGGTACATCTCCAAGCTTTGGGGACCCGAAGCACTTCTGATTGGGGATTACGGCCGGATGAGCGTGGGTGCTTGCTCCTTTTTCCAGCAGACGCACAGGAGGACATGGACGCAGACTCACCCTTTCCTACAATCAGCAAACCTTTGACCGTTGGATGCAGCAACGTATCGTGGCCTCGTGTTCGCTGCTACGCCCCGGATTAAAGTGAAATGAGCTTTTTTCTCTCTGTCTCTCCCTCCGACGGACTCTTTCACCCAATTTCGGCACGGTCCCACCCCAGCTTTCTTATTACTCTTGCAATGGTCTCATGGAGCCATTATTCAGAGCATCGTTCGCAGCATCCTCATGATAACTTAGATAGGTAATTGCATTTGCGGGTAGAGCTTCAACCCCAGATGCTTATTGCGACGCACACGTGTGTTTTCTTGCGCCATTCTCGGGCAGTGAACCAATGAGACAGGGCTACGCCGTTCGAAGTGCATAAAAGTAAGGGTACTTTAAGCCTTGTACCTGCCGCTAGTCTCTTCTTCCCAGCGGTCCACTTAAATCTCTTCAGGACACCCGCCAAAGTGAGCGGATTATTACCTAAGGTACCTTGTCACTCTATCAGTCAAGGCGTTGAATTTACATGTACCCATCGAACAAGTAACCAAGTAACCGTCAAAAGGGAGATCGACGACACCTTCACCGTAGACAGGTGTACTTTAGCTTGTCATCGCTGCCCGCAATATTGTTGTTGTTGGAACATCTACTCCGTACTTTACGGTATTCTGAGGGAATAGGCGCAGAGGGGATTAGTTCCATAGATAGATTTTTTCCAAAAGGACTTTTACTCTAAAGGACCCTTACAAGTTACAACGATCTAAGCCACAGGAATTTTAGACTATTCCCTAAAAAGCCTTAGCTTACTTTACTTTACCTTCCATTTGGGCCATGTTGCAGTTTTGATTTCCTTCCCTCTTGGCAAAAGTAATTAGCGGGAACTTCCCCCTAGACTACCTTACCTTACCCTTCCATTCAATCTCCCAACTCCAGAGACGCAACGACGACAATCAATTCCATCGCCTTCCTCCCTCCTCCTCCTCCTCCTCCTACTACTATTGACCGACAGCAGACGTGCAAGCGACTCCGAGCACAGACAATTCCATCTCCTGGTCGTGGAGGAACGCCGACGAATAGAGGAGCCAAAGACATCCGTCCCATTGCCAGAATTCAAATCTCCATTACCCTTTCCGCGCGACGCTTCTGACAGTCCTCCACGCTCTTTAAATGCTCCATTTTCATACATTCATTTGACCTTTTCCATCCGTCGCGACAATCCTGAGATCGAGGGTTGTGTTAGGATACCGGTGGAAGTTGGGTACGTGGTGGCAGACGACCGTCAAACCTTTTACATCGCAATCAATTCAGCTTTCTTCAACACGGCCTCACGACTCTCCAATAACAACGATCCTCTCAAAAATCACCTAGGATTCGGCGTGTTCTGGAACGTGGTGGGGATACCGTTGGAATAAAGAGAGGGAACGCTTTGTTGGAAAACCAAACATGTCGCTATAGATAGGATTGGTCAACAAAGAACGAGGTGAAGGTCGCGGGCATTTCTGACTGCTGCCGACGCCCCTTGGTCTGTGGAATACTTCGTTCGCAAAGATACTCCAGTCTTTCTCAATAATCCAAAGAAGGGGTCAATATCGAAGGCCTGCTAAGGGACACAGGCATCAAGCTCCTCCTTTCTTCTTCTGGGCCCTTGTGCCCTTTACACTCTTTTAGAAGTAAGTTTACCACTGTCCGTACCGGCCAGACTGGAGTGCTTGCACCACGACTCTACTGGCACCAAGCTTCGTTCACTGACACTCATATCGCAGCCACGATCTTTTCAACCTTGACTTGTCAAGTTCACTCGTTTATCTTCTTCCTGACAGTAAGTGCTAGTCTTACGCCGATGAATACAACATCTGATGAGGCTGAAGGTGTCAACATCATCTACATCACCAATCTATTCTATTAATAAAGATCTATTCCTCCATCATATTCCACCTCCATCATGTTTCGAAGATCTTCAGTAATATTTGCGGCATCTCTGGCATTGCTATCTACACTTGACTCTGCTACATGTTTCGCTGCCGCTGCACCTGCGCAGCCACGGGAAGACTTGGAAAGGCCTCGATTTTTGAAGAAGGAGATCAAGCGTTTCGTTTTTACCAATACGACAACGTGGAAAGATGGACCTCCTCGCGAAGCTTCAACTTCTAATCTCGAAGCCTTGCTCGAAGCCCTTACTTCGTCGTCCTCTCAAGACCTTACGGCAGATCCAACGCCTACTTCAGCCACTCCAACCATTACGACTACACCCGGTGTCACATCATCTGACAATGGACAATTATCGTCGGATATATCGCTGTCTTCGGCTGGAGACCATGAGCATGATCGCGAGGCATTCTTGGCTGTTCACCCATCTACAACGAATTCGCCTGTCTCCTCGGTACCGTTACCGTCATCGAGTCCAAACGACGGCGAGGGAGCAACAACACAAAGCAGCGTCGTTCCAGGAGGCGACTTTCATGGAGCCACTACGTCGAGCCAGTCCCCGCCGTCATCGAGCGCAAGTAATTCGGATCAACTCACTGGGAAGGAGGGTTTGTCGCAAGCAACCCATTCATCCATAGTCCAGCAGCCTGGGAATGGCGTGACCTCCTCCCAGCTGGGTTCCACCACACAGCTCGAGACCAGTGCATCTCCCTCCAGTGCTGCTTTGCCGAGTTCGCATGAAAACCCACAAGCTGCGAGTACTTTAGGCTCGCGGACGCCACCTAGCACTGGGCAGCAGACGAGCACTCCAGGAACCGATGCGCCCCAATCGAGCTTATCATCCGAAGGCGCCGGAACCCCACTTGCAACTACCTTAATTGTGGGTTCAACGTCAACTGTACTTGCTGCTACGGCTACTGGAAGCCCTGAAAGCCTTCCTGTGACTACTGTAGGAGCGGGGTCTTCAGCGGTTCTTCCTCCTGCTGGGACGACGATTGAAACTACGACTACCGTTGGAATCCCTCCCGCGGCTACTTCAGCAGGGGGTTCGTTGGCAGCTGTGCCTGGAGAGACCATCAAGACCTCCAAGGACAATGGCGATCACTCGCCTCCTGGTGGGGAAGCCACCTCCGGAACCTCGGCGCCAAATACCAGTGAAGCAGGTGCAGCAACTACACATGCCGCCCAGCCAGCGTCTTCGCCCTTCGCTCCGCAGTCTGTGGCTGTTCCGGTTACAGGAACATATTCAGGCTCTGAAACAGCTCACGTCACCGCTGGTTCAGGGGATACCCAGCCTACACCAACCCCTGGATCGGGAGCAGGACCAACCTCGCAAAATGGTGCAATCTTAGGTACTTCGGCGTCGCTGGCGCTCCAATCCAATCCAGTTCATGCCATTTCTCACGTTGGGGGATCACCGCCTCAAACGACGCTAGCCGATGGTTCAGTTGTGCCAAGCACAGCGCAGATCACTGGAGCAGCGAAGGGCACTGCGACACCACTGGAAACTCCACCAGCTTCCGTTTCCTCTCCGGGCGGAGAGCAAAGTTCAAGCCCAACCCTGAATGCAGGAGCGACGGAAGCAGCTTCTGTTGTAAATCCAGCGTTGACAGCAGCTGCATCAAAGTTGAATGGCATTCCAGCTTCAGTTGAAAATCCATTGGCAACTGTTTCGGGAAATCCTCCGTTGGTATTCAACCCAACCCTGACAGCAGCAGCGTCTGTCCTGGGCGCACTTCCAGTTTCTATACAGAACCCAGAACACCAGGTCTCGCTCGCGGGCTCACCAAAATCAGCTTCGCTGGTGATTCCAGAAAGCTCAAATACGGCTGGAGGGGTCCCCCCAAATACAGCAGGTGCGACAGGTTCCCCAATTGGAACAGGGTCTCCAGTGGGCGGAACAGCATCACCAGTTGGCGGAACAGGAACAGCATCACCAGTTGGCGGAACAGCATCACCAGTTGAAGCGACAAGCTCACCAGTTGGGGTAACAGGCTCTCCACTAAGCGGAACGGCATCACCAATTGGCGGAACAGCATCACCAGTTGAAGCGACAGGCTCACCAGTTGGGGTAACAGGCTCTCCACTAAGCGGAACGGCATCACCAATTGGCGGAACAACATCACCAGTTGGGGTAACAGCCTCTCCAGTGAGCGGAACAGCCTCTCCAGTGGGCGGAACAGCCTCTCCAGTGGGCGGAACAGCCTCTCCAGTGGGCGGAACAGCCTCTCCAGTGGGCGGAACAGCATCACCAGTGGGCGGAACAGCCTCTCCAGTGGGCGGAACAGCCTCTCCAGTGGGCGGAACAGCCTCTCCAGTGGGCGGAACAGCCTCTCCAGTGGGCGGAATAGCCTCTTCAGTGGGCGGAACAGCCTCTCCAGTGGGCGGAACAGCATCACCAGTTCGGGCAACAGCCTCTCCAGTGGGCGGAACAGCCTCTCCAGTGGGCGGAACAGCCTCTCCAGTGGGCGGAACAGCATCACCAATTGGAGCAACAGGCTCTTTAGCTGGCGAAACTGGGTCACCAGTCGGTGTCACAGGATCACCAGTAGCGATAAGTTCGCCCGCGGGCGGAACAGGATCACCAATTGCCACAGGGTCACCAGTGGGCGAAACAGGATCGCCGTTTGGAACAGGATCACCACACGCGTCTGGAGAACCTCTAGGCCAAAGTTCTGGAGGATTGGCACTACCATCAGGGGTTATACATCAAAATCCTCAGCACACAGCACCAGGGCCGATGACTGCTTCGTATGGAGGAGTAATACCTGGAACTCCAACCCCTACGCCTCAATCAGCAACGCCGGAGTCTGGGATTGCCGGATACTCAACGCAATCCAATGGAAACGTGGTGCCCATTTCGGCGGCAGCTGGCACAGGTTCTACAGTGTCCAATGGTCAAATTGTGCCAGTCGCTACAGGTAATGAAGCTTCTGCACAGTCACCTGGGCCCAATGAGACTGGTCCAGTTGCTTCGAGTAACGCAGTAGAAAGCGCAGCTGCTGCTACTGAGAACGCTGCTCCTCCAGGACCGACTGCGATGCCCGTTATTCCTCCACATCAAGAGTTTTCCGGTAAAGGACCCTATACCCAGTCACCAGTTGGTTATGATACCTCGACTACACAATCTGTTCCCACGAACATCATTCACGGACCATCCTCGATGCCGTCTTCGACTCAAGGCCATTCTTTCGGACCTTCCAGCCTTCCTTCCAACGTCCCCCTAATTCTGTACCAAAATGGTGGCCCTGGCTCGCAACCTCCTAACACAAGATTAATCAATATTGCCTTCCGATTTCCGCTCAACTACCTATTCGTGTACAACCACCCTATATCGTCGGAGCAGATGTTCCATTACGTCCCCTTGGGCATTTGCTATGGTCTCGAAATCGACATTACGCAGATAACCATGCAAAGTCTGCGAGCTTGGGACACATACGCGGACGTTGGTTATTTCACTACCCTAGCTATAGCCTTTGTCCCTGATGGTCTCGTGGACAATCTTGCACTTCTGGTCTCCACATCGGCCTCCAGGTTCTACCGCAACCCTGACAATAGCACGGCATTCCTCCTCTCCATGATCGATAGCGCAATACCCATCATCGGCAGCAATGGAACCGACGGTGCATCCGCACCCTTCGGCAATATACCAACGGACACCAGCTCCCCAAAGAACGCTGGTGCTCCCATTGGTGGTGACATTGGCAACTCAGAACACGTCAGAGCATCCTCCGTGGGCATCGGCGTCGGTGTCGCTTGCGGTGCAGCAGCTTACGGTGCAGCCATGTTCTTCGTCGCCAGGCGATACAAGAAGAGGAGACAATCACACACGCGGTCACCAAGCATGTTCAGCTCGCCAGTGCTTTCGCACGCTGGGCCCGACGCAGGCGCCGGTGCGGCGCTGATGAGTGGAGCCATGGGGGAGAGGAGCGCGAGTCCCTATTACGATAATGACGGCAGAGCTGGAAGCAGAGGGAGTGGCAGGAGTGGGAGCAGCAGGCATCAGATCAGTGCGCCAGTCATGGCGGAGAACAGTCTGGGCTGGAACTGAGAAAAGCCGGTGGGGCCTGTGTTATATGTACGCTATTAACATGATTCCTGTGGGAGGAATTTTGGCATGGCATGGGCCATGCATCTTGTCGCATGTACAGACGGACCTGTCTGAGACGACCATTACGCATCACCGCCCTTTCCATCCCAGCCTCCTTACGTTATAGCAATCTTCTTCACACCAGGTCATATGGGTCTACGACGGAGTGGATGACCTAGATCTTCATTATTTCGAGTGCTTTATTACCTACTTATTCCCCCAGCGTTTCGGATTGGATAGACTTTTCTGAGTGGGAGCGGAGTGCATGAGAGACGGCGGCTCGAGGAGGACAAAATACCCCCTGTGTATATTTTACGTTTTCGAAACGTCACCATTCTTTTTTTTCCCCCCAACTGTCATACTGGAAGAGGCGACTGAATGAAAAAGCGAGAAGGAGGCTTGGGTTTGGAGAGGTCCATTGTCGATATTTAGCAGTAGGATAGCCTAATCCAAGAAGTTTCACTCAAGAACATGTCTTTTTCACCTTGCTGACGAGGACTCGAGATGACTCATCCCCACTTCGCTCTCGGTCAACAAGCGGGGCTCACGATGCCGTTCTGTGGCTTTGGCGTTCACCTAAGTACAAAAGTTGGGGGGAAGAATGACAGCGAGCGGGAAGGGTTCGATCTCAGCTACCTCCACATGCCTGACCGGATGCTACATCCACCTCGCCCGTCCGACGACGACGACGGCGGACCGGTGTCCGATGCATGCACCCGCACCCTTCCACACACACCCTTCTTTCTTTCTTTCTTTCTTTCTTTCTTTCTTTCCTTGCCGTGCGCACACGCACACGCACCCCATCGTGACGATAGATACGATGTGCACATCTCCCCCATTTCTCCCCCAAAGGGGGAAATACACTCTCAGATGCAAACCAACCAACAAACCCACAAACCGTCTACGTAAATTTCACGCCTACCGGACAGATGGATCGTTCTTCTTTCGCAAGCCCAGTCACCCGGTTCCTACCGCCGGCGGCGCTGTTCGGGACCACGCGTTTTGGCTCCCCGGGGGGGGAGGGGGGTGGGGGGGATGAGACCTGGGCGGAAAAAGGCTTTGGTGGGTTCGGAGCGTGTCTGGGTAGAGAAGCTTGAGATCCGGTTCCGAGTTTGATTTGGGGGGGTTTTTGGGGAAATGGGCTGAGTGCCTATCAATGTGTACTAGTACCGGTGTTGCGAGAGAGAGGGAGAGAGAATGGCTTTGGGGGATATTGTGGGAGGGTGGGATGAAGCGGCGCCGGAGGTGAAGGATCGGACTTTGAGAGGGGAGGGGCGGTTGGTGGAAGAGGAGGTGGTTGGGAGTGTCGGAGACGTGGGATTACGTGGGGAATTTGCTCTCGTGTGGGTACGGAGTGGTGAGGGCGAATGATTGCTCCGGGAAAGATCTGGCGGGGAAGGAGAGGGGGGGTTTCCGCGAAAGTTATCAGATAGGAAGGAGCGAGTGCTGGTGGTTCCCTGATCGTCAAAGCGACGACACATGTAATTCAAAGGAAACGGGCTAATTAAGCTAGTAGGATCGATGTTTAATATATAGTGTAGGTTGATCTGTTTATCAGAGCATTCTCATCATGCGAGGGAAATCGTGAAAGCATGGTCTCTTTCGTGTCTCGCACCAAGCCAAGCAACACGGTCTAGATTGACTGGTCTATGCCTCATGCAGCTCCGATTGGGAAATGGATGTGCCGATGGCGGTCGCAGCAGTTCCGGAGTTATCTAGGCCTTCTTGTCGTTGACAGCTTTGAGTTCCACCTCACTAGATCGTGGAAATGATTGGTTAGCCTCCCGTGCGACACGATTGCTGATGCATGTACCGCCATCTAGGATAGCCAATGAAGATGACTTCTAGTCACATGGAATGTACAGAGGTAGTCATGACGTCGTAGGAGAGCAACGCAGAGCCTCAATATAGAGCAGAAAGTAAACAGTAACTTCGACTTACAAGACCAAGCTGGCGTTCGGTGGGATGAGGCCAGGGAATCCACTGCGGAGAATTCAAGTCAGCTCATGCCGCAGGGGTGTGGCTGTCGATGACATATTGAGGCTTGGGTCCATGGGTATAAGAAGTTTGGATTGGCGACCCAGTCAGAGAGTGCGTAGGCTTACCGGTCACCATAGGCATAGTCACTGTAGTTTTTGATAGCATTAGCCATCTGGCACAGCGTGTCTTGCAGCACACGGAGACCATTGGCCTTTGTGCCCTGAGATGCATGCTCGTACCCTGATATTGTCAAGATGGACTTCTCTCCCAGGGACATCTCCGTCACACCCTCATCCCAGCCTTGGATGTGTCAACCAACGACTCTTCTCTTGTCTACATTCAAGGTGCCATGTACCTTTGATGACCTTGCCAATGCCAATCTCGGTCTTGAAGGGTCCCCGGCCTTTGGAAGAATCGAACCTGGAAGTTGAACAGCGCTGATCAGCGTAATTCTCAACAAGACTGGTCATGGAGGGAGGGGCCGGAGAGTGTGGCAGGGACTTACTGCTTGCCTCGGAAATCATTCTTGGAGCCCTTGGCCTCGTCGTAGAGGTTGCCCGTGTACTCGATGGTGACGGTATCCCCCTTCTTGGGTCTATCGGTGCCGTTGCCCTTGGTGACGATTTTCCTAGTGACACCCATTGTGCTCGTGGAGCTGGTTGAGGTTGCTCGGAAGGTTGCGTGTGTATAAGTCGAGATGGAGTGAGAGTGCAGTCAGCTGGAAGTTGGAAGTTGGAGGTTAGGAGTTGGCAGTTGGGAGTTTGGAGTTGAGAAGTGAGAGTTTATAGAGTGATGTAAGGGTGGGATTGTGGAAGGGTTTTGAGGCCGGTGCTGGCAAGTAGTTATATGACGGTGGGATTGACTAGGAGAATGGTGTGGAATGTTTTTTTGACTTCCAAGTTGGTGAAGGCAAAAGAGGGAAAGAGTGGGGAAAAAGGCAAAGGGAAAGAAAGAAAAGGGCAAGGGAAAGGTGCTGTGAAGCTTCGGAGCTTCCCTTTCTAGGTAGAATGAAGAGGAAGAGAAAGCCGGACCTTTCTCAAGGAACGAATTCCAACGCTTCAAGCCTCAAGCTTCAAGCTTCAAGCATCACACTCCAAGTTCTGAGATAGAAGATGGTCGAATGACGAGCTGAGGAGTTGTTGTTGCGCTGCGGTGAATCACACAACTGCGCAATGCCACCAATGCTTTCGGCACTTGGAAAAAGGCTTGGTTGTGGTAGCACTCGTGGCATTAATATAAGCCTATGGTTAACGTCTTGAGCCAGTTGGGAATACTCGTCTTGACGCCCAAGAGCATGGGTGATGAAAACTATGATGAGATGAAGGCAAGGTTGTAAGTCGGAGAGCAAAGAGAGTGGTGAGAAGTGTGAGCGAAGGGTTGTTTAGCTGAAGGGTCTGCATCCGGAGCATCCCACTTGGTTTATTGTACTAGACGAGCTTCATGCTGAAGACGGTTTAGATTACTTAATTGCCTCACGAATAATAGGTGAAGTAAGTACCTTAGCTCTTTGCTTTGGCCTACCTACCTGCTCTACCTGCTCTATCGACGAACTACCTATGCTCCGTGGCAAAAAGATGTGCTAGCCCGTTGTTGGGCATCAAGGCAGTTTGACATTGAAACAACAAACAGTTATAATAAACAGAAAAAAAAAAGAAGAAAAAAAAGAGGAAAAAAAAAACCAGGCATTATGGTCTAAAAGATTGCAGTATGCACAAAGACGTCGAACTACACAATAATCGGACATCGCCACCGGCATGTCAAGATCCCGACCGAACCTGCTTCTGCCTATGCTGGGATGATCGACAGCCTCTTCCATCCACGCTCACCGCCCCACATTCTTCAGCTCATGCTTCTCTTCGCACAAGGTTCCACGTGAGTGATAGATTGCATGAACAACGGTCGTCGCGTGCATACTGCTCCTTGACACATGGGGAATTACAATGGGTCTGGAAAGTTGGCAAGCGCTCAATCAGAGGCATTGCTGCTGGTCGTCGTGCTGTGCAGTGTGCATCTTGCGGACATCGATGATCGCCCAGGTTTCGCATTGACTTTTCCCACCTTCTAGAACCATACTACTGCTCATGCAAGCCATCTGCACCTCCATCCTTCCGCTGCCATTCGCCCCCCTGGTCGCAATCCGCTTCAAAATGGCAGGTTCTATTTAGATATTCATCTCGTCCCTCGCAGAACATCATCGTCTCTGCATCTGCACGAGCCGATAGATGTGCTTCCAACAATCCATGTGCTGGCACACTCTAACATGCCCGCATGCAATGCAGTCTGACTTGCCCCATTCCCCCACGCTACTGCGAACTGATGAAAGTTTTGCTTGTCTTATCGCTCTGGATCTTGTCTGCACATGTCACTCGAGAATTGACGTCTGTCAAGCATGCATTCAGCCTGACGCGACAGACATGAACTGTGGGGTTCCCGAGACGTGAGTGGGTGGATGACTTGATCAACCGCCAATTGCGGGTACCTGATCCTGGTCATGATTAAAACAGGATCGGGCGATCCTCCGCGTGCCGTTTGGGCTCTTTACGAGGCCCTGCATCCATCGGTCGCTGAAGCAGAAGTCCGTTAAATCCATGAGCTTGACAGGTTTCGAGAAAATATCAAAATCCCTCGAGGTAGAAGAAACTTGGATGCTTTTTGAGCTCTATCAAGCTAACGGCATTGGTAGAGATCCCTGGAAACCGGCTGTCCTTGGTGGCGGCACCCTTTTCAAGAAAATGAACGCTGGTTATGCCCGTCTTCTCAGCAAAACTTAGGCATCGGCCATAATTTGTGCCGACTTGTTTGATGCCATGGCTATCGTCAGACAACGTAAAGGCACCACCCCTGGCAAAGAATTTCTATGGGCCTATTTAGTAATTAAAGTCGTTAGATGTAGATGATTGATACCCACCTTGCAAATCTCCGCCTTAGGATATGGCTCGCTCATGCCTTTTCTCAAGCCTGCTGAGTTGAGCTCAACAAGG